GAGATGCGTTATGGTTAAGTCTATATTTAGGGATAAAACGGGGATAAGAGGTTATTTTATGCTTAGGCTTGGTTTTTGCATTAGTTTTGGCGGATTAACTCGCACCGATCGGTATCGGACTCCTTCGATTAGTATTCCAGGCAAATTGACATTGCCTACAAGGACAAAGGAGACTCCCTCCCAGTCTCCCTTGTTCTGCTGTTGATGTAAACAAATATTAAACGCTTACTTAAGCAGGAAAAATTTAAGCAGAAAACAGTGCTTTCTAGAAATAAAAAAAAACTAGATTGATCCAATTGTGAAAAACTTGCAGCCTCGGTCGGAGTTCAGCCTACAGGACAGAGAAAACTTTTGCGCAGCCAAAATGCTTCCATTGAGCTACGAGGCTAACTCTGCGCTGTGAATTTAATCATATTTGGGTCGAATTGCTTGCCCCTCTTTATTGCACGTTTGGAACGGATGCAGTAAGCCAGGCAGGGTTTCCTAAATCAATGCATAAGTGGTATATCCGAAGGAAGGAGAAAGTGCATATTGCCATGCTTGAAATGAAATATAAGAAGTCTGACTTAGGTGAGACTTTAATCAATCTGGTTACAGTAGGGAAAATGGAAAAGTGGAAATGATCGCTGTTGCAACAACGTTGTCACGCCGACTTTTTAGATTCGTGTTCGAGCTCATTCGCAGAGATAACCACAATTATGTATCTTTCTGGATTCCTACGCTCTCTCCTTCTCTAGAGACTCGTACTGAAGCCTTCGCATCCGGTCACAGAAGAACAACTGACTATACACAGCTTCGCGTGGCGTAGCTGGTCATTTAGCAATTTGGTATTCGTCAGCCAATTTTGTCAGAACCCGGCGTTTTAGATCACTGGACATTAAGTCTAAAATTAGGCCACGAGCTTGCTTTTTCATCGGTTCTGATCAGGAATAATAAGCCACTGGGAAAAGCCTGCTGATGGATGCATTTGTGATTAATCAATGAAGTAGAACGGGAATCAAAAAGCCATGATCCTGCATCTGCACATGAAGTATTGCCTAACAAGCATTCATATTTTTAAACACGACTGAATATGCTAGGGAAAAAATGGTGCATATTCCGTATCAAGTAGGCAGATGCATTCAGATGGCGTCTTCGTTGACAGAGTTTCACTATGGAATGAAATTTCACTGAAAAAATTTCTTGTTTTTGGATGTAAAACCTGTCTTCGTAGTCATTGAACGTTGGGCTCAATTTTCTCCAGAGGACCCTGGTCGTCAATGTGTACGCGGAGAAATCGATTTCACTTATACATAGTGTTGTGTCCCCCAGTTGTGCGCATTGGGGAGGACAA